CACTTCTTCCTCTTCGCTTCCTCCCTGAAAGAATGACAGTTAACAAAATCATCCTACGTATGTCTGTTTCCCTCATTATGCAGTTTTGGATCTGAGACTACATTAATTTCGATCTATTTCGGTTTACAAAGCCGAGCCAACTCTAATCGGTAAAACTCAGGTTACCCTCTAAACGTGGCTTGCCCATTGGCGTTTTCTTGCAATTTTGACAGTTAACTGGGTCTGCATAAAGAGTCTTCTTAATCTGTCGTTTAATTCTATTACTATTGGCAATAATCAAAATATTTCTTTTTACATTTACTGTTCTTGTAATACTCAACCAAGGAGCAATTTTATTTGTCCTTTTTCTCTTCCAAATTTTTGGATTTTAAATTTTTTTTCGCGGAGCTTTAAATTGAAAGAAATATGGTGGATTTAGATGTCTTCTAAAGTTAACGATACGTAAAGTCAAGGCTTTTTTAACACACTCGGATAAAGAAAAGAACTGGGAATAATGGTTTGATTCTTGTCTTAGGAAAATTTGCTAAATTTTTACGCCTGTTCCTAAATATAATGTTATTTTCTCAAACATTCTCAAGACAAAAATGTAAAATTGTTCTCTGCTCCACAACTGCGCCCTAATCAATCATTTCCATTAATTTATTAATGTTTAACAAACAAGTGCAAATACATTCCGAGTAAACCCACGGCATCACGGAATCTCTTTAATTTATTTTAAATCACAAAGAAGCATAGTTGATAACGTTGACGTCATCTACGCGTTTACATCATAGGAAAGCAACCAATCAGAATACGTGTATGATTCAGCTTATTGTATAAAAACAAATAGTCTACACCAACTCACGCGCAAAGAGAGGAATTCGATTTGTCCGCGAGGAATATTTGCCGGAAGGTCTTTCCACAGGCGTTTGCTTCAGTGACGAAAGAGCTGGAACAAGGCAATGATGACGCTGACGAGGGCGGTATTAGAGCGGGGCCTTCAGAACATTCTTTGCTGTTGAAATTCTGGTCTACAATTCTTCTGATGGTGCTGTCTGTCAGTGAGTCAGCACAATACTTCACCACCTTCACCACACAGTCTTTCATTTG